ACGCCCCACGCGAGACCATCCGGCTGGACCTGGAAACCGCCTTCTACTTCACCCACTTGATTTTGGTCTTCAAGTCACCCCGGCCGGCCGCCATGGTGCTGGAGCGCTCCCAGGACTTCGGCGAGACGTGGAAGCCTTACAAATACTTTGCTGCTAACTGCTCGGCTGCCTTCGGGCTGGAGGATGACGTGAGGCAGAGAGGAGCCATTTGCACTTCCAGATATTCGAGTCCCTTCCCCTGCACCGGAGGAGAGGTAGGTCTGCTGGGGCTGGGAAGAGAAAGCCCTCGCCCCAGCCCCCATTCCATCTGCGCTCTCCACTCCAGCGCTTATGCTTCTTATTTTACTGTACCAGCATCCCTTGTCATCGCATTAATTTCACAAGGTGAATTAACGCGATTAGTTCCTAGGTGGTGTAGGTGGCTTAGGCATCGCCTTGCCCCTCACTTTGCTGAGTGCGTAATCCCCCTCTTCTCCAAAAACTCCTCTCCCCTCACCGGGCGAAACCCCCTCCCCGCACAGCCGCAGACGAGGCGGGTGCTGCCAGTTCCTCGGGAAAGCCAAAGGGAACGTCGCTCTTGACGGTCTAATCCAGATCTTTCAGTCATGTAGTTTTGGGGTGATGCAAATCCGTCTGACTCTCACCAAAATGCAACTATGTCAAAATTAATGGTCACCAGATTCACTTTTGATTATGACTGCCTTCACTCAGATGTAAGCACGTAACTGATCAAAATAGCTACTGACCACACAGAGGTATGGTTCCTGTAAACGAGATTAGCTGGGTAATTAAGAAACTTATAGTTTTTTTTTTTTTTTCTTCAGTGCACACTAATTCTTACATGAAAAGAGCTTGAAGAAATGAAGAAAAGCATCAGGTTTGCCAAGAGGAAAAATATATGTGAAAAAGTCAGTTTATTTTCAAAATCTGGAACAGCAGATAATAGATCATGCATTTGGAGGTGGTCCCAATGATACTGTTCCCTGCAGTGCCTCAGCCTGTCCCGTGGTGCTGGAGAGCCTTCCCTGGGAGCCACGGCCGTGGGGCTGCCTGCCGGGGTCCCCACTCGTGGGGATGCGTCTCCAGTGACCAGCTCTGGACTTTAAAGGCTGCTCCCTCTAGTGGCCTCATTCAATGAGCTGGTCTGAAAGTTCAGTCGAACTTAAAATTGCCCTCTAACCTAACACAGCGAAAGCAGCAAATTTGATTAGGGAATCGGGTTGTATCATTTTTGATTCTGCTGGTAACATGTTCTGAGGTGAAAGCCTGGTTCCTCGAGACCAGCATTCGTGTCTGAGAAAAATCACCTTTTCAGACCCCTTTGCAGTCATTGGGGTCACCCCTAGACATGCTTTGTCTCGGAAGCCACTCTCTGCAGAAATACCGAGAGCTGTCTGTTCACCAAAATGCATCTCTTAGCTGTGTCTCGGGAGGCAGCCAATGACCTGCTCGAGCAGAAGCTGCTCCGTGCTCTCATCAGCTCAGAAACAAGGATCTCCAGACCTGCCAGACAGACCCAGAGAAGGGTTTATGCCAGGTGGCCAGGTTGGACGGGGCTCTGAGCAATCTGATCTGGTGGGAGATGTCCCTACCTGTGGCAGAGGCTTGGACTAGATGATCTTTGAAGGTCCCTTCCAACCCAAACCATTCTGCGGCTTTGATTCAGGGCTGACTACGAAGTGGGAACCTGCAAAAGCAAGGACAGATGTACCCCACTGGGAATTTTCCAGGCCCTCAGCACTTCTGCCAGCCTCTCTGTCCCACCGCCTGAATCGTAAGGCTGTGCCAGCTGGTGGTACAGGGCAGGGACTGAAGTGTATAGCCCTTGGGCCAGCCAGTGAGGCATGTCTGGGGCACTCTGGCTTGCACGCTCCTTTTCCAGCTTTCCCAGGGATCTTTCCGAGGGGTGAGAAGCCCAGGGAGTCATTTGGGGCAGTGTTTTCCTCGTTTGTGCTGGGTCCCACGTAGCTAGCACCCCAGTGCGGTTTTCACTGCGGTCACCCCAGTGATGTACCTCCCCACCACTCTTGCCTGGCGAGAACCTGTGCAAATCCCGACCTCGGGCTGGATGCTCTACAGGTTGGTGCAATGTGTTGGGATGGTAGGATTGAGGTCTGGTGGGTAGAAGCCAGTGCCTATCTCAAGAAGGAAAGGAATGTGGTGGTGTTTGATCTATCTGCAGTAGCATGCTGCAAAAACAGGCTATTTACCAAGCTTGCTTCTGCAGGATCTCTTCTTTTGGCATCGCTTTAGACTGTGTTGTTGCAAAGAAGCTATAAAAGTCAAGATCATTTAATTATTCCAGGTTTTAAACAAATGTTGAGTCCAAGGGGCTGTAGCTTATAAGATTTTATTTGTATGGCACGCTTCAGTTCGCTGCACTTAAACACCACTTTTTACCTCAAAGTAATAACAGCAGCTTTCTGGTGACCAGATGGCAAGCCTGCATGCTTAGCAAATATCACATTTTATTTATTACAGTGTGCTACATTCCAGCAATTACTTGTAACTGCCAATAGCAACATGTATCTCACCTAAAGAAACATCAGAGTTTTGTGTTCCGTTTAGAGTTATGCTGTGCTTCACTCCCACTTCTGGTAGCACCTAATTTCAGGCATATGGAAACAGTAATTTCACTTGAAACAGTGGTTTCAAGTATGCAGTCAACTGAAATGTCCAGCTCTGAAGGGTGTTATTTAATCACAGCTCAGTTGCCGCAGTTTTCTTTAAAGCACAAGGTAAATTCTGCAAGCGCTACTGGATTTCCTTGTTAATTTTTTCAGAGGTTTTTTTAACTGCGATGTAACGACTGTAACCTATGATCCAAACTGTGTATTACGCCGTCTGTATACCACTTGCTCCCACTTCAAACATTTCAACGCCCTCTGTGCGTTTCCCGGCACGGTGTCGGGGCTTGCAGGGTTTTGCAGGGCGGCGGGGTCTGTTCACGCTGCCGGCAGCTCGGTCACTGCTGCCCGTCCCCTTGGATGAGCAGTTTGCAAAGCTCAGGGGAGGCCGCAGGAGATGGTGGCTCACCTCACACGGCACTGGAACTCCGCACGGACCTGTGGCTGTTTGCGCTGGCGGTTTCTGGCTTTAGCCCTCTGCAAAGAGCAGGCGGTGCTGATCTGCCTGTTTCTGCCGAGTGTTACGGTGCTTGGGAGCCCCAGTGCTTGGGAGCCCCGTTTCAGGGCAGCAGCATGCAGAAGCTTGTGGTATTCAGGGGCTTACAACCTCTTTTTAATAAATCACATGTGTTAATTTGAGTCAAAGGTGTATCTCCGTCAGTTTTTATTGGAAAAAAAAACCCAGGCTTTTTGCATTTCTTCTGCCCTCATGATCATAAGTCATTCTTTAGATGCCTAGTTCAGCTCTTATGACAAAAATCCTTCCTCATCACAACTTTGCCATGATGTTGACTTTGAGGAGATTTATGTTACCGCAGAAAGCAAGCTGCCAAGCCTCTGCGTTCGTTTCAAAGACCCAGAGCTCAGAGCTTGTGGAGAAACGAGAGACGCTGAACTGGCTCTGGGAGATGCCTTTCAGCTTTCTTCTGTAGTAGAGTGGCTCTGGGCTTCCCTCTGCAGTGGTGGGATTGGTGTGGTGGAGGGTGTTGGAGAGCAGTCTGTGCTCAGAGGGTGGCACCGTGCTGCAGTCACCCAAGCTGGGTGCCACTACAGTGGTGGGAACTGGAAAAGGGAATGTCACACGCCATGTGTGGCACTTGGCATGTCTACTGATGGGTAGAGTCCTCTTGGCAGGGACTTGACAGGTCTCTGCTCTTCTTTACTCCCTGTCTCTGATGTTGCAAAACCACCAGCTGTGGTTATCCTCTGCTTTGGGTGCATCTGAGTTCTCCACCCTGAAGAAGGCATCAGCTCAAGGATAAACAGCCCAATGGTGGGATCAGGAAGGAAAGGGCAGATCTGGACAGGACTGTAGAGGAAATGGGTTGAAGGCTGTATGGCACGGAGGTGATGTCAGGAACACTGCACTGATGCCCTGGGTTTGGTCTTACAGGTTTTCTCTGTGAAAGTAAACACGAGTTCACAGGTCAGCACGTGCTCGGAAACTTTGCCAAACTGAGCCTTTTGCCGGAGTAGTCTGACTGTAGTCTGGCCTCACGCGAAGAGCCAACATTTCAGCAGCCAGGAAAGCAATGACTGCTCTGTAAGGGTCCTGGAGCCCAGCCCATCTGAGCTGCTCCTTTGTTAGGAACAGAGGAAAAGAGGCAGATGGTGAGCGACCGCCTCCTGCCCCGGCATCCCCGGGCACTCAGTGCGTCTTGTTCAGAAACCTGCCCGCAGGCTGGCACTGCTTTCGGGGGCTCTCATCGCTCAGCACCTAGGGCCAGGCTGTCCCCTACTGTAGGGCCCGTCCAATATGGGCGAAGGAGAAACGAGAAGGAGGAGGAAACCTCGGTACAACCAACCCGGGCTTCTCGCAAGCTTCAAGCATCTGCCAGTTTGAGGGGTCAGGTATGCAGCCCTGATCAGCTGCACGCGGAGGGGTCACTAAAAATTTTCTCCATGCTTAATTTAGTGAATTAATTGATTGTTTAGCATAGGCAGAATCCTCTAAATGCTGGCCTTATATCATCAGAATTTTAAGAGAAAGGCTAAGGCCAAGTTTTAGCCTGGATCGTACAAATGTGCTACAAATCCAGAGTATTTCCACTGTTTTCCAGGGTGTAACCCTTCAGCCACGTTATAGCGAGGGAAGTCAGAACTGGATTCACCAGCCAAACAAAACAAGAAGCAGAAATAAACTCTTTCAGCATCATGCTCAGACAGGAATGCAAATTTTATTAGTATGTGTAAAAGGCTGTCTTCCCTCCCATGGTTCGGGATGTGTCAATATTTCTTCCTTTACAACCTAATCTGATCACTGCTAAGTGCTCATCGACAAGGGACCCTTAGCAGATGTTAATTCTTTAACTGTGAGCGAGAGTGACTGTCCACTCAGCAATGCAATTATCTCATTCGTTTTACATTCCAATCTGTGGTCAATTTAGATTAGCTCGCCTGAGTGTCCCCATTTAGACAGGCTGCAGGACAAAAGGACTTACTGAAGCAGAGTCTCCTTGACAAGGTTTTCGTAAATTAGTAACTTATTTGGGTGTTCATCTATTCACAATACTGCTAATAAATCACTTGGAGACCTCAGCTATTGTTGCTGGTTACTATTAATAGGAGAGGCATGCTTTCAGCTTGACTGTATTCCAGCAACAAATTCTAACGTGTTTCTAACTTTT